ACAGAAGATATGTTCAATCGTGTTATTACCAAAGACAATATTGCAGTTGTAACATTACTCGAGAACAAGGAAAATTTTTCACGACTTATTATTGTAAACTGTCATATTCATTGGGATCCCTCATACGCAGATGTCAAGCTTGTTCAAGTTGCAATGCTAATGGATGAACTAGACAAACTTGCTCAAAAATGGTGTGATATACCTAGTAAATCAATTTATAATTACAGTTCCCCACAAAAGATATCAACCATAATTTGTGGGGATTTCAATTCTACTCCTGATTCTGGAGTGTATGAATTTCTTTCGCGTGGTACCATAAAACAAGATCATTGTGATTTTGGTGATCATATTTATGGCTCATATGTATCGGAGGGTTTGTCACATAGGCTTTCACTAAAATCTGCATATTCCAATATCGAGGAGTTGCCATTTACCAATTTCACCCCTAGGTTTACTGGGGTCATTGATTACATTTGGTATTCTACTAATACATTATGTGTTACTGGTCTTTTGGGCGGTGTGGACAAAGAATACATGTCAAAAATGGTTGGATTTCCGAATGCACATTTCCCTTCTGAGTGAGTAACTTAAGATAAAGCATTAGATTTTTTTTGATTTTTTTTTTATATATTTTTTTTTTCTCTGTGGTAATTTTTATGTTTATAATTATTTTCAGTCATATCGTAATCCTGTCCGAATTTCGTGTAAAACCTCCACAACCAATACAACCACCGCCTCAATTTGGTGTCTTATCAAATGGCGGCAATAGCAACAGTTCGCAACGGAGACTTAACACCCAATTAGGTTCTAAGAAATAGTCATGCAATACAATAGATGTTACAAACATTTTTGGACAATGTCAGAGATTAGGGTGATGTAACTATCCTGTAGATGTTTGGATATGGCTGTGATGATGGACTATCTTTTAAGAATATCATTTTGTAATGATCATTCATTTTTTCTTTTGGATAACAACTTGAGGTAGATTATTTTTATTGTGGCTGGAAACTATTAACTTTCTTGCTACACAAAATTTTTCATTCCTTTTATAATGTAAATAACACCGGTACTTAAATTTGGTGAACAAGGATTCAATTTTATGGTACCGAAAATCTCGGTATTCATTACATACAGTTGACATTTTTTATTCCTCAGATTCGATTTTTTTTTTCACTTGTAAGAATAAAATTTTTTCTATTATCGCTTTCTTTTTTATACCATAAAA